CTGGCGGTGGGCACGTGCTCAGGCGGCTAAGTGATACCATATTTTGTCGACGATGTGGCCGCTACTCGTGTAAGAAGGCAGTTGATTTAACTAAATCATGCACTGGGCCTCCCCGGGCCTCTGGCACCATCTCACGGCTTCGACGCATGTGCGGTGGTCGTGACCCCCGCACTGATCAACCAGTCGGTGAGGTCACTGCGGTTGACAATGTCAACGTTATATATGCTTTTCCTGCCCCTCACGATGTCTTTAATTTTCAGGCACTGTTTGATCCTGCGTGGCTTTTAGAGGCACCGTAGATTTCTCGGGCTATACTTCGGAGGTGGGGTGGATGTTTCCTAGGATATCTGGTTTGTCTCGTCTGTCTGATGCTGGCAGGACTACTCGGATCCCTGACACCAGCCGCCAGAAGTGTTGTTCTGCAGTACTCCCTTTCCTGGTCGCTACAGAGGACAGCTTCCAGGAAGTAGGGTAGGCTTGGGATAAGTGGGCACAGAGGCGCTGAGAAGCAGGCACCCGTTCCGCCTGCGCCCACATATCCCGTCAGTGATTTTGTTATTCCCCCCCTGGCCAGGCTCGCACAGAGAGAAGACTCTTGCCCGCCCGCCGCGCGGGGTTTTCTGTGCACGCCTCTCTGTCTGTGCTTTCTCTCTGACAGTCGGACAGTCGGACAGTCGAAATGTCCTATGGCTACGCGCCAGGGGCTAGTAGGCTGAGGATGAGTGGGTACAGAGGCGCTGAGAAGCAGGCACCCGTTCCGCCTGCGCCCACTCATCCTCCTTGTGTGCTGCCTGTGTCTTTTCCCCCGCCCAGGCTCGCAAAGAGGAGCAAAGAGAATTCTCTTCGCCGCCTGCGGGGGGCGGCATGCTTTCACGCCTCTCTAGCTTTGCTCTCTGAAGTGTCTGTGCCGATTCGTCAGGGTTCGTTGGCTAGGCTGAGGATGAGTGGGTGCAGATGCGCTGAGAAGCAGGCACCCGCACCGCCTGCGCCAACTCATCTTTTATGTGCTCCTTTTGTCCCCCCCCCCAGCCCAGGCTCGCGAAGAGAGGAAGGGCTCTCCGCCGCCGTGCTGTGTCTGTCTTGTTGTATAATGCTGCTGCCTGGCCAGAGGTTGAGGCTGGAAGCCCGGGAGCCAGGGCGCGGGCTTCAAATTGTCTCGCCAGTCTTGCCAGCATCGCGTGTTTCGGGCCTTCGATTTTTCGTTGTCCCTGTGTGCTCGGGTTCGGTCCCTCGCTCGGCTCTGTTCGGGTCCTGGTCCGTCCCTCGCTTCTTTCGGCCCTCCTTCGGGCCCCTCGCTCGTCTTTTCTGCGCCACGGGCAGGAGTGTGCGGCAGACGATCATCCGCGCGCAAATCAAACAAACAAATTGCAGGCTCTGTGCGGAGACGGCAGCGGGGGAGGGGGGCAGAGCACGCGAGGGGATCGAGGATTGCAGGGAGGAGGTGGTGAGGAAGTGCCTCCAGATGGCCCGTAGATTTGCTGCAGTGGGCCCACCATGTTCATGGAAGGTGCACGTTGCGTCGCCCCCCGCCTTTGTGGCCCCCCCTTCACGAAAACCCGAAGGCTGCGGCCTCCCAGCATCTACCAGGGTTAGGTCGGGCCTGTCCCTCTACAAAAGGGAATATAAAACAATAGCCGAAAACATAGTATGTGGACGATTTGTTTACTATGTTTGACCATCTTTGAATTTGTTTTGGCTATTTTCCATTTTTCTTTCAAAATCTGCCTGCAGGAAGACGTGGCCAACCTAATTCCAAAGCCCTCTCGAGCTTCTCGTGCATGGCTCCCCCCTGGGCGTCAGGCCCTGTGATCTTGGTCCTGTGAATATGGGTCCTGCCCTGTGTGACGGGGGTGGTCTTAAGTCGGGCCTGTTCCTCTACAGGAGGAACATCACAACATAGTAGCAAATAGTCGGGCGATGATGATTTGACTATTTATCGCTATGTTTGTATAGTTTTTTTTTATTATTCTTAATGTCTCGCCCAAAAAACCGCCTGTATGGGGGACATACACGACCTAAGGGTAGTCGGGTTTGATACGCATCTTGACTCGCGCACGCGATGGAAAACATTCTATGTTGAATGTGGCACTCGCACGCTTTCACTCCGCTGGTAAAGTGGCCGTTTTCGCGAAAGGCTGTCTGGGGCACGTGCGAGGAAATTCCACCCGACACTGCGGATGAAGGCAACAGGTGGACGCGGGTCGCCTTGTGCGAGAGGCAGGATGAAGCCCCCGAGCGCAAGGGACGCACCCGCAGTGGGGAAGGCGGCGAGAAGGAATAAGAGGCGTGCAGAGGGCCAGGCAGGTGCAACCGGGTCTCGAGGGGCGAGAGCCGGACGACAGAGACTTGCGTTCGCAGCCTGGGAACACCCGAAGGAGGTGTACAGAAGACTACGAGTATACGATCGCAAAGCCTGTGGCGCAAATCGCGCCAAGATCCCACTCTTGATGTATGTGCAACTTGGGGGCAGTCAAAGTTCAACAACATGTGAGCGACGCAGACAAGCGGCTACTAATTCGCGGACGTTGGCGTGTCAGCGCCCTCGTTTCCATGTAGCGTGCCGCTCTGGCGGCCCGCGTAAGCCGCGGCGTAAGGTCTCCAAGTCACCGCGGATAGGACCCGTTTCTTTTCTTCGTTCATGGTTCAGCATTCATGTGTTAGCGTGCAGTGCATCAGGCCAGTCGCATATGTTTTTAACCAGTTGTAAATTGTTTGCGCAGATGTATCATCATTGTGTGCCTCAGCAGCTTAGCGCGTTTACAGGTTTGCAAGCATGCAAGACGCTGGCGCGGATATAAGCATAGCTTTCTTCGCTCAGCCAAGCTAGCCCGCGCAAGTAATCAGGAGGAGGTTGGCATGGATGCATGCGCCCACCCCCCCGGGCCCGAAACTGCTTATCTCGGGGACGCGCTGACCCGGGTAAATCCCACCCGGGTCAGTTGGGCCTGGCAAGATCCTGCAAGATCCTGCAGGATCTTGCAGGAACCTGCACCAAGACCTGGGTCAGTGCACTGCTGGCCCCTGCAGGATCCTGCAAGATCCGACGCTCTGACTGAACCCCCGTCTGCATTGAACCCCGTCTCTGGAGTCCCGACTATGTCTATTGAGAGAGGAGGAGGTGGAGGAGGAGGAGCAGGAGGAGGTGGAGGAGGAGCAGGAGGAGCAGGAGGGAAGGGGATTATGTCTCTGCCTCCTCCTCCTCCTCCTCCTCCTCCTCTTCCTCTTCCTGGGTGTTGCTGCAGGCGGCAGTGTCTGCCGGCACCGACAGCACGAAACCGCTGCGGTCGGCGCCTGGGGGGGGGCGTACAGGTTTTCGGCGTCGCCCCACCATACTTATCCTGTACGTGCTTCGCCCCCCCCGGGGGCGATAAGGAAGACATACAGTATTAGTATGTCCCTGTGCGTCCCATGGTATACCCTCTTAATTCCGTCTTTAGCGTCGATTGGCATCGATTGGCGCCTGGAGTCGATGAGAAAGCGCCGTTGTAGCGGCGGCTAGCGTCGATTGGCGTTGATTCAGCGTCCATCAGCGTCGATTTATCGTCGAGTCACGTCGACCCGCAAGGGCCGACAAGGGAATGGGAGGCTCCCAGGAGCTGTCACCGAATATCTCACCTTCGTGAGGCCTCGGGCTGAGCACAGGCAGCCCCCCCCCCGTTGGCCCAGGGCGGCCCCAGCACCCCAACTCCTCCTCCTCCTCCTCCTCTTCCTCCTCCTCCTCCTCCTCCTCCTCCTCCTCCTCCTCCTCCCCTCCTCCCCCCCTCCTCCCCGTCCTCCTCCTACTCCTCCTCCTCCCCCTCCTCTCCCCCCTCCTCCCCCTCCTCCTCCTCCTCCTCCTCCTCCTCCTCCTCCTCCTCCTCCTCCTCCTCCTCCTGGAGCTGGAGCAATCGGACGTAGTCCGTTCGGGCGGGGACGGGTGCCTGGGGAGGGCCATCAAAATTTTGCCAGCCGTGCCGAGGGGGGCGACATCCCTCGCACGCTGCGACAGGCCCTCCCCAGGCCAATTTACTCTTGAAGAGTGCTTGCACTGCGCCACAAGGCGCCGCCAGGAGAGCCCCAGGGGAGGCGCGGCAATCTTCGCACCACGCGCGGCCCAACGGCCAGGGGACCAAAACCAAAACGCGCCCATCAGCTACGCTTCAGCCTCGCGCGGAAGCGCCGCTTGTGGGCCCTCATGTCTTCGTCATCTTCAGGGTCGTCGCACTCCCAGGGGGGGACTGCCGTGGCCTGCACGGCTACCTGCACTATCTCGCTCACCTGGGACTCATCCTTCGGCGCGTCGCTGCTGTCCTCGTGCGCCGTCGGCTCCATGAAATACGGGATGGCGTTGTGCTGGTCCGCGGACGCGGTGGCCCTGTTAGAGAGGCTGACGTCGCTGCACTCCTCGTACGCCGTCGGCTCCACAGACTGCTGGACGAAGTTGTCGGGCTGCTGGATTCCCTGCATCGGGTTCTGCTTGCTGTTGCGGACGCTCACGTTGGCGGCCTCATCCAGGGACGCCTCATCCAAGACGCCCATCGTATTCCACATGCCGAGGGCGTTGGTGTCGAGGCACGGGGGGGGGACACCTGCCGCGTGGCCCTCGCTGCACCCAGAGAGGAGGGCGGCCTCGTGGTTCGTCAAGTACTCGAGGAGTCTCGATTGACTCGCTGTGTCCGAGGGCGTAGCTGTACACTGCGTGCTGCAGACGGTGCCGGCGAGCGGCGTGCGATCGATGGCATTCACGCCGGCGTGCGGGTCGCCGTCGAGGCTGCAACGCTCGTCGGTGCTGTGATCAGCCGTCCCCTCGGAGCTCCCCGCAGGCCCCTCGGAGACGATGTTCGTCACCACGACGTTCTTCACCTCCAGCTTGAGCAGCCTGTCGTCCATGTCCTGCTCGCTCTTGTAGCCGAAAGCGGCCTTCATCTTCTTCACGTCCTGCACCATCTGGGTCTTCTCGCCCTTCTTGTCGTTCACTCCCTTCTGCAGCTCGTCCTCGGGGTCCGAGTCGCACATGTCGCTCTGCGCGTTGATGTCGGTCGTAGCCACCTCCAGCTTCAGCAGCCTGTCGTTCATGTCCTGCTGGCTCTTGTAGCCGAAACCGGCCTTCATCTTCTTCATGTCCTGCACCATCTGGGTCTTGTCGCCCTTCTTGTCGTTCACTCTCTTCTGCAGCTCGTCCTCGGGGTCCGAGTCGCACATGTCGCTCTCCGCGTTGATGTCGGTCGTAGCCACTGCGCCCACGCTCCCTGTGGAGGCGAAGGCCTCGTCGGAGGCCGCGTCGTGAGGCTCGTCGGCGAACTTGACAGGCACCGCCTGCATGAGCCAGGAGTTCGCGACCTCGACGATGCGCTCCGCCGCGCCAGGATGGCGGATGAGGGCGCTGGCTGCATCCAGCTCGCGCCAGGCGCGTACCAGGTGGGGTGGCACCCGCTGGCCGTCGTCCCGCAGGCGAGCCAGGCCTTGCGCAAGGGTGCTGCCACCCACGGTCGCCACGAGCGCCGTGGCAGCCCCCAAGACCCGCTGGGCCTGGCCGCCCAGGACTTCACGGCAGCAGGTCCCTGTCCTGCAGGCCTGGTCCAGGCCGCCTTGCAGCTCCCGCATCAGCAGCGCCGCCTGCTGGGGGTCCCTCACGTGCGCCAGTGCGGCCCCATGACGCACGGGGATGGATCCAGCAGCATCGCGCCGCCGGGTCATGATTGCCCGCGCCGCTGGGCGGGGGGGCTGCCGTCTTGAGCCAAAATGGCTACGGAGCTCCAGCTCCTCCTCCTCCTCCTCCTCCTCCTCCTCCTCCTCCTCCTCGTCTCCTTCTCCTCCTCCTCCTCCTCCTCTCCTCCCCCCTCCTCCCCCCCCTCCTCCCCCCCTCCCCCCCTCCTCCCCCTCCTCCTCCTCCTCCTCCTTCTCCTCCTCCTCCTCCTTCTCCTCCTCCTCCTCCTCCTCCTCCTCCTCCTCCTCCTCCTCCTCCTCCTCCTCCTCCTCCTCCTCCTCCTCCTCCTCCTCCTCCTCCTCCTCCTCCTCCTCCCCTCCTCCCCTCCTCCTCCTCCTTCCTCCTCCTCTCCTCCTCCTCCTCCTCCTCCTCCTCCTCCTCCTCCTCCTCCTCCCCTCCTCCTCCTCCTCCTCCTCCTCCTCCTCCTCCTCCTCCTCCTCCTCCTCCTCCTCCTCCTCCTCCTCCTCCTCCTCCCCCCCCTCCTCCCCCCCCTCCCCCCCTCCCCCCCTCCTCCCTCCTCCTCCTTCCTCCTCCTCCTCTTCCTCCTCCTCCTCCTCCTCCTGCTCCTCCCCCTCCTCCCCTTCCTCGTCCTTCTCCTCCTGGGGCGCGCAGCGCCCCAGGGGCCCCGCTGGAGGCGGCGCCAGGGTCTCGAGACCGCCCAGGACTGCTCCCGAGGCCTGTGGAGGCCAGCCTTAAGTCGGGCCTGTCCCTCTACAGGGGGGAAATTTCAAACGAGTCAAACACTAGTATGGGGACGATGTTTTTGAGTATGTTTGATCATTTTGGAGTTTTTGTTGGGGTATTTTTTTTTCGTCGCAAGACCTCCCGTAGGGGGACATGCCCGACCTAAGGCCAGCCGTGACTGCTCGGGGGGCACCTCGGGGGGGCTGCCCGTGCGCAGCCCGAGGCCTCAGCAGGTGCTCCCCCTCCCGAGCGCCGCCGATGGCGAGCGTAACAGTCTGTCACCACCCACCATCGGAGGTTGATAAACCTCCTACCCTGACGCGTCGATTAGCGAATTGGCCTTTTTCGGTTCGCGAGATGGCGTCTCGGCCGTCGTTTTTGCGGGTCCAGGTCCGTCGGTTTCGGTTCCAGGCCGTTTTCACTAAGGGGAGGTTTACTAAAGGAAGGCTTGTCCACCGCCGACACCAATCCACCCCAACCCAAACCGAAGGTCCAAATTTGCTCTCCATTCCCAGTGGGAGGGGGGGTCCGGGAGCATTCTGAGAAAACACGGGTGGAACGCGCTCCCTTCCTCCTCCCGAAATAATCCGGGTCTTCGGGTTTGGGCTTCGGTGGTTTGGTAGGTAGTCAGTTTGGGACTCGGCAGGGGAAGCCTGAGCCGCAGCTGGTGGGCGCGGCGTCCGCTCTTTCCTTCCCCCTCTCCCTAGTGGCACAGTTTGCTCGCACAGCGTGCGGGGACAAATAGCAAGGCCTTGCGTCGGCAAGCGAGTGGTGGCCACAACTGGGGGATGGCTACGTGCACCGCGTAAGCAGAATCATGCGCCCCCTCGACTGAATCAGTTTCGCCCTGGCGCCCACTTCCAGCCCCGCGCGCGGCCGCCCTCGCGGGCGAACTGGGAGTCGCCTCGCCTCGCCTCGCTGGTGCTGCCTCGGGGCTCCCCTGCCCGAGGCTCCGCGCTGCGGCTGTGGCGCTCTCTGTCTCTCTGCTCCTCGGGGCGGTCTCTGGTTGCCTTGGGTGCGCCGCGACGGGGCTCCAAGGAGGGAGAGAGACCGATACCGGTGCCCTTCCCTCGTCACCGCGGCTGGAGTCGCTTCGACATTCTGGTCAGAACGCACCCCGGGAGAGGTCCGGGGCGGAGCGGAGTGGCTATCTTGTTTCCCCAGGGGTGGAGGAGAATGGGAGGACTGTCTTGATGGGCCGATTTCCCACTACCATTACTATAGATAGGAGAGGGAGGAGAAGGAGAAGGAGGAGGAGGAGGCGGAGGAGGAGGAGAAGGAGGCGGAGGAGGAGGAGGCGGAGGAGGACTTCCCCATCCTCCCTTCTCCCCCGTCCTGCATATGGTGGTGGTGATGGAAAATTGGCCCACCATGTCGGCGGTTGATCGAGCCCCACCCTCCATGTCGGCGATTGAAGTACCTCTTTCTGTCTCTCGAGAGGGTGGTGCGGCCGCAATATTGCGGGCAGTGCCCTCGCAGGGTCTGCTCCCAGGTCGTCTTCGCCACGGGGCGTACTGCCAGAGGGGGCTCCATCCGGCCCCGACAGCGTGTCTCTCTGAGCGGTCCAGGAGGAGGACGAGAAGAGGGAGGGGGAGCAGGGAGGATGGAGGAGCAGGGAGGAGGGAGGAGAGAGGATGGAGGTCGGAGGAGGAGGAAGGGGGGAGAAGGAGGGAGGAGGAGGAGGAGACCCAGCTTCCCTGCGGCTCGGCAAAATATCGAGGCGGGCAGCTTCGCTTGTTTTGTTTTTGCGGGGCTTGTCAGAGCCCAGTGTCGGGCCTCGAGGCTGTCAAACACGGCGCGGGACGAACAGCTGGTCCCAGGGGTGAGAGGGGTCGAGAGGTCCGGGTGGGTATGCCTCGCAGAGGTCTGGGGGGGCCGTGGTGGTGGTGGGTGCCCCGGCATGTCGGGCGCTGAGGCCAGGCTGTACCTCGCCGTGAACGAGGCGGACCAGCGGAAACTCGACGGCGTGTTCGACACGGGCATGCAAGGCCAGGTGAGGAGTGCAGCGGCACGAGGAGGAGGATGAGGAGCACGAGTTGGAGGATGAGTACGAGGTGGAGCAGGAGGAGCAGGAGGAGCTTGAGAATCGGTGAGCCAGCCAGAGGAGCCGGGCGGGAGTCGCGCGGAGGTGCTGGGGGAGGGCCAGTAGCCGTGTGGCACCGATGTGGTTTCCATGTGCCACAGGCCCAGAAGCCGAAGCGAGCGAGCGGGCGAGCGAGCAAGAACGCGGACTTGCCAAATCAAGCAAGCAAGAGTTGAAGAAGTAAAACGCCATAAACATAACCTTTTGGCGCTCCGCGCTGACTTCTTGGATCCGCGCTGGGCCCCCCTGCGGTGCCTCCGGCGCCTGCGCCAGGGAGGGGTGAGCATGCTACGCATGGAATGAATTCAATGGAAATCAATCGCAGTGGATCCGTGAGTGGATCAATCTAGACTGATGAGGCTATGATGCCTCTTTTGATTTTCTGCGCGGAGCGCCGAAAGCGCATGTTTGTGGCATTTTTGTTCTTCTTCTGACTGGGGGGCGGGCAGGCGCGGGAGCAAGCCCGAAGGCAAACGGGTAGCCACGCGGGCGGAGCGCGGGTACGAGGAGCAATGGCCCAGCCATCGTGCGGGCATGCACCCCTGGCATGGGGAGCGCAAGAGAAGCGCTGGCCTCAGTGAGGAGGGAGGAGGAGTAGGAGGAGGAGGAGGAGGATGAGGAGGAGGAGTAGGATGACCAGTGCGGGGAGCTTGATGGGAAGGATGTACCTACGATGTGGGGTCAACCGTACACCCTGGGCAGCAACCCTAGGACTGCTACATTTCAGCCCGCACCTGTCCACTTGCATGGCTCTCCTCACTTGTTTGTTTTTACCTCGCTTGCACCTTTCAAACAGAGGCGGCACTACAACTGGAACTCAAGGGGCTTGTGCTGAGGTTGTTTGAAATTGTTGTCGCTTCGCGAATCCCCACCAGCCCATCCAGAAACGATGCCCAGAGGAATTGCCTCGATCAGAGAAGTGGGCAGCACACAGAGGAAGCCATTATGAGACATCTTGGGATATCTTGAGCCATCTTGGAGGTCATTTTGGGCTCTCCCAGACGCTCTTGGAGTCATCTTAATCCGTGCCCCCCCCCAAGAGGCCTCCATGTGGCTAAAACCTGTGTAGAATCAATGATTAGGCATTCTCGCCGAGGCCTCTTGGAGCATCTTGGGTGCATCTGGGGGGGCTCTTGGGGCCTCTTGGGGGTCTCTTGGGGGCCTCCGGGGGGCCTCTTGGGGGCCTCTTGGGGCCATTTTGGGGCCATCTTGGGACCTCTTGGGGCTTCCTGGGCGCTTCTTGGGGCCATCTTGGAGGAGATCGATCAAACAAGAGGGGGGGGTGAATTAGCGCCCCCCCTCGGAAGCCCCTAAAATCGCCTCTTGGACCCCTCTTGGAACGCTCTTGGAGTGCTCTTGGGCGCTCTTGGGGCCGTCTTGGGGCTCTTTTGGGGCTCTCTTGGGGCCCTCTTGGGCCATCTTGGAGCCATCTCCAGGCCTCGGATGGCCATCGGAAGCGAAAAGGCGAGAAAGCAAAAATCATTGATTTTCCTTAGGTTTTGGGACGATTTTGGCCTCTTCGGGGCCTCCTTGGGGAGCTGTTTGGCCACTTGGAGTTATCTTGGGGCCGTCTTTGGGCTTCTTGGAACCATCTTAGGAGCCATCTCGAGCGATCTTGCGCTATCTTGAGCCATCTTGGAGCTCATCTTGGGTTCTCTGAGGCGCTCTTGGAGCCGTCTTGGGCCATCTGGGACGCTCTAACTACCCGCGGCCCCCCCCGTCCAGGTCCAGGGGAGGGGGTAGGGGGAGGGGTAAACCCCTCCCCAAGGGGGAAGAGGGAGGGGTGGAAGAGGATCTGCTCTAGACCACCTACGCCCAGAGGGCTGGTGGGACTACGGTTTATCTTGGGCTTAGCTTGCTCAGGTCAGTGCCGTCTTCTGTGACCTGGGGGGCGCCTACTCGTTTTACTATTATTATCCTGTCCTCGTTTTCCTACGTTGTCCGCGGCGCTCGCCAGCTCATTTTTTTTAGACCGAATCGCGTACGTCTTTAATGTGCTACCTTCAAGAACGCCACAGGCCACATGTACTTTCCCTAAGGTTCGTTTAATGCAGAAGAGGAGGAGGAAGAGGAAGATGATGAGGAGCAGGAGGAGAAGGAGGAGGGAAGAGAAGGAGGAGAGAGGAGGAGAGAGGAGGAGGAGGAGGAGGAGGAGGAGGAGGAGGAGGAGGAGGAGGAGGAGGAGGACCTCAGGATGAGAAGGCGGAGCAGGATCCCTAGACCCCATCTGTTTGCGGCATGCTCCGAGCCATATCGATCTGTGATGGTCCTGGGGCCCGAAACTGAGCCAAATCGCCCGTTGTGGAAGAATTGCAACTCCCGGATCTCAGAGGAGGGCCCCCGGAGGTCAGAAACAATGACAAACCTCCTTCATGAGCTTTTCAGGACGTCGGGCGTCGGGGTCCTTTCGATCTCTGTTCATGGGAGCCTTGGGGCCGCAACGTTGAAATCAGCTAACTAGTTCTCATAGCATTTGGACAGCATTTGGGCCTCCCTCCTGCTCCTCATCGCACTCCTGCTCCTGCTACCCCCTCGTTCTTCTCGTCTCCCTTGTGAAGGGGCAGGCCCGTTCCGAATCTGGTCCCAAATGCGCTCCAGATCCGGTCCAAATCAGGCCCAAAGCTGGCAGTGTCGGGGGCCACGCATCAGCGCATCAGAGGAGTAAGAGGTCACGATAATGATACGTTCCAAGGTCTCCAAGGCTTCCAGGATTTCCCAGACGTCCTGATGTTCTGCACGGGCTGCAGAAACGAGGGCCGCTGGATCTTCTGGAAGTCCTGGATCGCATCCTGAGCCAATCGTATCATGACATCCTTCTCGCCCTGACGTCGGCTCCCGTGGGACGGACACCAGAGTTAAGTCAGGCACGTCCCTCTACAGGAGGAATATTCAAAAAGAGTACAAAATCAGTCAGCAGACGATTTCTGAGCATTTTCGAGTCATTGCTGATTATTTGTTTGGCTAATTTTTATTGTTCCTCGAAAGTCCCCCCTGTAGGAGGACATGCCCAACTCAACACCAGAGACGGCCTGCGCACCTCCGCGGCCGGCCTGCCCCGTGCCCGCGGCCGGGGCCGCCCCCGCGGGCTGCCGCGCCCCCCAGTCGGGTGTTGCCAGGAGGCTCGGGGTGGCCCAGACGGCCTCAGAGGGCACCCCTCGCGAGGCCCAGAGGGCCCCATGGGGGGCTCAGACAATGCAGCGAACCGCCGGGGGCACCTTTGGGGCCGGGGGCACCTCCTGGCAACACCCGACCCCAGGCTCCGTCTTCGAGCGGGCCGGGTTCGAGCTCCAGGCCGCCAGGAAGGACGAGTGCGGCCTGACGGCCGGGCGCGGGGCCCCGACGCCGGGTCTGCCGCACTGTTTTTTGGGGGACTTCGCGAGTGCACGGTTTCCCCCGGGGCCGCAGGCGACCCGAGGAGCAGGAGGAGGACGACGGAGGAGGACGGAGGAGGAAAGGAGGATGAGGAGGAGGGAGGAGGAGGAGGAGGAGGGAGGAGGAGGAGGGAGGAGGAGGAGAAGGAGGAGGAGGAAAGGAGGAGGAGGAGGAGGGAGGAGAAGGAGGAGGAGGAGGAGGAGGAGGAGGAGGAGGAGGAGGGGTCGCGTAAGCCCTTCGGAGGAACCCTCCATTCGCAAGCAGGGCGGGAATTTCCGATTTCTGAACGAGCGTCATGTGCCGCCCTGCTGTTCAAACTCCTCTGGTGCCGATGTCTGCCCTACTGTGCCGGAAGTTTCCGTCCCACCGTGTCCCGTCGATTGGGGCGCCTCTCAGACGCAACTAGAAGGCGGGAGATCAGCCAAAGTACGGCGGGCCTGAAGTCAGGGGGGGCAGGGCTGCTGCTATTGGTGCTTGCGCACTCTGGGCCCCGAGGTCGCGCCGGGACCCCTCTTCGCAATTGTGATGAACGAACAACACGCGCCCATACCCATAGGGGGGACCGAGGGGGCTGTGGGTGTGTGTTGTCGGATGGGGGTCCCCGTTCGAACGGGAGCCTCTCAGGGTCCGACAACCCGCACCGATAGCCATAGCCAGTCTTCCTCCCTCCGACCCTCCTATGGGTATAGGGGGTGTGCTGCTCGCTCGTCAGAGTATGGCAAAGCACGTCGCGTCGCTGCTGTTCTCGCAGTTTTCAGTGCCTAGGGGCCCTCCCCGGGCCCCGGGGCCGCCCACAGTCGATCAGGGGCAGAAAAGCTCGGCCACACGCAGAGGGCGGTAGAGGGTTAAGCCGGGCCTGTCCCTCTGCAGGGGGAGTATGCACAAGTAGCCAAGGCTAGTATGGAGACGATTGTTTGACTGTCTGTGAAGATTTGTTGCATGTTTTTTGGTACATTTCTGTTGTTCGTTGGAAATCTGGCGGTTGGGGGAGATGCCCGACCTGAGGGAAGGGGGAGGGGGGAAGGTTTCCTAGAAGCACCCCCGCTTCCTGAAAGGCCTCGCCTGTAGGTGCAAGGCCGGCGCCTTCGAAGAAGCAGCCTCCTGAGAAGCCTTCCCCCCTCCCACTATCCCCCTCTGCGCGCCGACAGGAAGCTGTGCCGTTTTTCCTTATTCTTCGTTTTTTTGCGACGCGCGCGCGGAGCGGTCGTGGCGCCGTGCGGTGGCGCCCAACGCCTCGAGAGGCGGGGCCCGGCTCGGGCGACTGTACCTAATTGGGCGGGAGGGGGGCGCCGCCACACGACCCGCACAGGGGAGTGCAGGACTGCGCGCGTCACGGGCAGCTGCCTCCGCGAGCGGCGCCAGTTGAGTAAAAGCAGGAAAACGTGATTTTTTGAGTGTTTTCTTTCTCGCTCGAGAAGCTTTCTCTCCATGTTCTGACAATCGCCGTGCAAGGAAAGAGCTCTACGAGCTTCCCCCGTGCAGATCAAGGCATCGGGTGCCCATGGGGCGCTCAGAGAGCCGGGCAGCCGGCACGAGGAAGTGGCGTCGCGTCGCCGTCGCCAGGCCCCCCTGCTCGCGTCGTGACGACGGTCGCGGCGGATGATTTTCTGCGGTGTTCGGTCCCGGGGGGGGGCCCTCGCCAGGCCCTGGGGCCATCGAGGATCGATCCGGGAGGGACAGCCAGCCCTCGGGAAAGGGTCAGGACTAGACTGGGGACCCCATATTGAACAGGAGACAAGACGTTGGATGTCTGGGTCGCCAGGTCGGCGTCGAGAAGCTGGTCAGCGCGGTGCCTGGGTGAATTGCAGCGGGTCTGCCGAGATTGGATGGCGGAGATCGAAGGCGATTTCTGCCTCCAATGGCCCCACCCCGAGAAGTCGAGCCGCTCAAGAAAGAAGGGGAACACGAGAATGCCCCGCCAGGGCTCGTCGGACGCATTCCTATCGAGGAAAGACGCCCCCCATTCTAGATCCCTGAGTTGGGCCCCAACTGTTCAGCCCAGAGACTTCACAAAGTCGAGGATTGGAGTCGGCATACCCTCCGTTAGGAGAGCACCCAATACGCCAGGAAGAAGCGGGGTCCTGAAGGAAGGGGTCCTAATTCCCAAGTGCGGGTCTCGACGTTTCCAGCGTCCCGGGGTCCTGCCATTGCCGCTGGGCTATCAATAGGCAACTCGAGATGCAAAAGCCGGTCCCATGGGGGGAGGTTCGAGGTCTCGTTCCTTTCACGACCCTTTTCCCTCGTGCCGAGAAGACAGGTGATTGGCACGAGGCCTCCCGAGAGAGATGCCACCTCCTACGCAACGGGTGGCGGGAAGAGCGCCTGCGGCACCGGGCTTTCTGCAAGCAGTCGAGGCAGATGAGTTTGCCATCGTTAAGAGCAAGTTTGCGCAGGCATCTCCACGTGCTAAAGCGATCTCAACTTGAACCTGCCGGTTCCCCCCCCAGCCCCTCCACACGGGCTCGCTTGCCAGTGGTACTGTACTGACGCTACATAACGTGCGGCCCCAGAGATGGCGGAAGAATGTTTGGCGCGCGCGGATGCGTGTGTGTGTGTGTGTGTGTGTGTGTGTGTGCGATTACGCCATACTTTGTTGCAAAAGGAACAGTCTACTTTTTGGAAAGATGTCGGAAGTGTTGTTCAAAGCTCGTCGTCTCGGAGGAGGAGATCGTCTGGTCTTCTTTCGGAGTCGGTTCATTCGGGGAGTCCGAGGATTGTGGACGGCCCCGAGAGCCGCCCAAGAGGCTCCCTGGATGTTCTGAGGGCCTGGAACAGCTCCGATGGCGTCCCAAACATTTTCAAGATCAAGATGTTCCCAGAACTACTATGAGGGCTCCCTTGATTTGTCCATCAGACGTGACGTGGGTGCCACACTATTCCTTTTCGGTCATGGCCCCTCGCAAGCCTATGGAAATCCTAATTGACTCAGCCCCCCCCAACCCGCGAGGCCTTCACTGTATGATAATCGTCCTTCTTGTTCCCACGAGGGGTGAGAGTTGGTGATATATGAGATGACAGTGTCTCAGAGTGGGTGAAAGAATCTGAGAGGAGATAATCATTTTGGAAAGGGTAGATGAAAAGAGAGGAGCAGGACAGCGGATGAGAATAGCATGACAAGCGAGAAGAGGAAACGACCATCATCGGAGGCTGAAGGGGAGAAAAGGTTAAGATACATACCGTGATTCGTCGTGGCAGTCTTGCTCTATGCGTTTCCATGTCGCTGTTCTGTAAAGTGGGGGGTGCGTGTGCCACGTATGTGAAACGCAGCTGGCAGCACCCCGATTTGCTGCCGCGTAAATCCGCCACCTAATTTGGGAGGGCTGCAGTAACGCTAGAGCTTGCGTGATATGGCGATGGCGTTGGCTGGCTGTCCCGAAGCCTTCCGGGTGACCTTTTTTTCGGAGTCTCGTCGGGGTCGCGAGCTCGGATGCCTCTCGATGGGTTTTGGAGTTGCAGATGTCCGTTGGAGGTCTTGAGGCCGCCGTGGGGTGTCTTGGGGCCGTCTTGAGCCCATGTTGGGGAGCCTTGGGGCCGTCTCGTGCCAGTCTTGGAGCCCCGTTTCTGTGGTCTCGTTGTTTTTGTTTTTATGTGCTCTCTCTTTCCCTCTCTTTCTCTCATCCCTCTCTCTCTCTCTCTCCCTCTCTCTCTCTTTTCGGGGGCGAATTTGCGGATCCATGGTTTTGGGGGAGTCTTGGGGCCGTCTTGGATGGTCTTTGGGGTTGTCTTGTGTAGTTTTTTTCGGGCCGCAGGAGCCTTTGGGGTGCGAAGGGGCTAGCGCTTGAGCCCGGCACAGTGGATTTTGCTCTTCCGACGTGCACCAGACGTGCCAAGCAAGGGGCGCCAGCCACAGGCAGGCATGCTTAGAGCAACATAGGGCACCAACCAGAGAGAGCACCAGCCATCGGGCTCGAATCGCGCGGCAGCCGCCGTCTCCGACGCCCAGGGCCCTATACGTTGGGACCACCCAAAGAGGGCGCCAATCATAGAGCTCCAGCCGTACACATGTTTCATGTCTAATTATTCGAGAATTCCTTTCTTTCTTGGGGGGCAAGATCCTTTCATTTCTAATTGTTCCATCCTGGGCCTCTTCCTGGCCACTAGGGGGTCAGGAACAATTAGAAGCGAGCACAAGTAGAAATGCGCACGATTAGATAGAACTGAACGACGTGTAGGGCGCCAAGCGCGCCAGCGGCCGACTGCGACACGCAGGGCACCACATTGGCACCAATCGTTCGGGCGCGGCGGGGCCTCGAGCACGGGGAGCCCACCCTGGGGCACCAGGCGCGAAAGCGACCGACCGCGACACCCAGGGCACCGTGGTGCACCAGCCATGGGGCGCCACCATTGGTTCCAAACAGAACCCCCACCCTGACACGTCGATTAGTGAATTGTACGTTTTCGGTTCTCGAGAGGGTGCGGCGGCCGTCGTTTTCCAGGCTTGCGCCCGCCAGGTTTGGGCCCGAGGTCGTTTTCACTAAGCCACGTTTTACTAAAAGGGGTTCTGTCCAATTCCGAAACATCAGGGCACCAGCCTGAAGGGCACCTCGCGCGCCAGCCGCCGCCGACGACACCTGGCTTGCAAGCGCGAGGTTGGCGCCCCGCGCCTAGGCCAGAGGCGGGCAGCAGGTGATGGGGGGAGGGAGAACAGCAACAGCATCATCGTCATCACCATCATCACCATCATCACCATCATCACCATCATCACCATCATCACCATCATCAGCATCAGCATCAGCATCAGCATCAGCATCATCATCATCATCATCATCATCATCATCATCATCAGCAGCAGCAGCAGCAGCAGCAGCAGCAGCAGCCCGCAGTAGTGCAGGCGCGGCCCCAGACGCAGCCTCAGCGTCCTTGGCTCAGCGGGGCGCGTTTGGGAGCGGCAGCTCACCGTGGATCGGGCAGTGGGGTCGCCCGCCCGCGTCAGCGCCCACCGCGCCTGC